TAATTTAATCCATATAAATTTAGTAATCCTAGAGATTATCCTGCATTGACGCATACAGTGTCAGATTTCCATAAATTGGCAAATCTGCATTATCTACACATACGCCTTGTGGACGTAATAAAGTCATAAAAAGTAAGACATCAAAACTTTGTGATAACCATGATCATAGTGGAATGATAATTTGCCATGATAGAAGAAAATCCTACAATTAAATACTTGGAAGTGGAATAGACGTGTAGCAATTGGCGTTTATAACACCATTGAGACAATAGTCCAATAAACTTTTACAAGTTGTATTTCTCCGAAATCCACTTCAACCTCAACCATAACGGTTATGCTTCACAGTAAACGTATTTTGTCCACAATCTTACCGACATTAATCCAATTCGGACAACCACGGAATGACGCAGGTTTCCCCTATATAAACACCGTATAACACAATGACAAAGTATACTTCAATTTCATCACACTGAGAGCAATCATAACCCCAAAATTTCTTGAAAATGTTCAAAGCCACCATTCTTGTTTTCGTCACAGTTGGCCTGGCTGGCACGCTTGGCGAGTCTGATGTCAATATTGGTGGGTATTTCAGTTCAATATATAATTTATTCTAATACACATTTGAATATTAAAAAAATTTATTCCAGTTCGTCAAATGCATGTGGTTGAAGGGGAGCGCCAACTCAACGGGGTTGGAAGTAATAATACATAATTTGTTTAAGAGCTTCATCGTCGTCATGTTTTACATGTTCACCTTGAATTTCAGTTTTATCCTGCCTCCCAGGCGAGTGGGTAAATCAGTGCATCGCTTCACCTGGTATTATCACCTGTGGATACTGCGGAAACTGGACGCCACAAGGATGCGCTAACGATTGTTCTAGGCAGGGATTCAATTTCTGGAGTTGCGGCAGCAGTACGTGCAGTTGTTCCTGCTAGCTTTATTTTGGGGCAATGCGAGATACGACTACGTTTTGGGATTGTTGTTAAAGCACAAATAAATTTATTGTTCAATGTAAAATGAGAGGACAGAGGTGATAAGCGTTTACATGTAAGGAAGGGCACAATTATTTACTAAAGTGTGTAGAGAAATTATTAATAGTCATACTAAATATTGTCAGGGCATCGGGATTTTTTAAATTTCACATGATCCAAAGGCCATATTTGCATAATTTTTTTTTTGAAAAATATCACCAAAGAATAAGCTATCTCGTAAAGGAATCCGTTTGAAAATGTAAACATTCGCCGAGGCAGGAGGTGGGCAGAAAAAAGTGCAGGAAAATTTAGAGTTAGTGAAAATACGCTTTTTCGATGGAAAAGTATGAAGGCAGTGAAAACTTTAAAAATTCAAATACGATGCGAAAAGCTCACACCAACAACCAAGATGAGAATTCAATCAAAAATGTACTAAATATCAGCCGGTTCGGTACGAAAAACAGCTATGGTACCGAACGCCACAAAAAGGCACTAAAAACTGCGTAAAAAATCAGCATTTTACCATTCCAGGACATCTGTGGATAAAAAATTGGGGTAAAATTGCTTATAAATCATCAAAGCTGACTCTGTTGAGTTAAATGGATGTCATTAAATATGGACAGCTGGTTCAGGACCAAGTATTTATCACATCCGGGTTACATGGAGAGGTATGGAGGTCCAGCGTCATGTTGACGGATGAAACTCGGATGAATTATATGGTAAAATGTACACACAGAATAGACGATTCAGAGCTGAAAAAAGATCGGATGTACCACCTTTCCTTCAATCCAAAAACTACCTTCAAGTGATGATAGCTTACGCGCTGTAGACGTCGCTCCGATCATCATCACACAAAAGGGCAGAAAATCAATTCTGAGTATTACCATAAACAAATTTGCCTATTTGCCTGGATACCTGGCACAATTCTTTATTTTTTCCCAGCAAGAAAACAATTAATTTTTTCCAGGATGGTGCTCCACCCCTCCTGCCAAAACTAAAATGAGAATTTTGGCGGAGGCAGCTTCAAGTGTCATGGGAAAGGGTGCCTGACCCGGAAACAGTCCGGATTTGAACCTAATTGAGAATATTTGAACTATTCTCAAAATTCCGGGATACGATGCGATTCCCAAGGTTAGAGAGACTTTAATTGCCAGATTTCCAAAAACCTGAAATTCACTCTCGCCGGACCCTTTGCAGAAATTGTCACAATCTTTTAAACCCCAAATAGCATAATTGCAGAAAGTTGTTGGTTGACACAGTAAATATTAAGGTATTTAAATATAAAGGTTTTTATTCCAAGACGAAGGGATTCTGCATTAATTGACAGTTTATTGCGCCCTAAATTTGACTACAATAAATTTCCTACACACTTTAGTTGCTCCTTCATCTCAATCCTGGAGCCACATCTTTGACCATTTTTATATTTTTAGGATTAATCGTGATTAGGTGGGACTGTATTGCAGAATTTTCACTTCACATATTCATAATGAATGAATAGAGCAACAATTCTTGTTCATAACAATAAACATAGTATGCCCATGATTACGATAAAAGACTGGAACGAAAGTACGCATGGCATTTTAAACACAACTTCTTAGTTAGCAATTTATTTCACTCAGGAAAGTTTGTTAAATTTTGAAGATTATATAAATCTAAAACAACTCTCAATACGATAGTAAGTCTATCTGAAACATCATGTATGTATTAAACCACCTGGCAATTAAGCTAATTACTGAACCGCTAACGGCTTACGCGCCTATTATTTGAGCAAAGTCCAGATTACTACAAATTAATCAAAACAACAATTCTCTATTAATTGCTCGGTCTTGATTGTGGTCACCAAATTTGTGTTTTGTTTTACCCACTTGCGAATTCTGGCCTTATAAGGTTTTAAACGATATTTGGGCATTACCATGTTCAAATAGGAACGAGACACTGTCAACGCGATATTGATATTCTTGGCGTTGGTTTGTGCTAACTCAACCTTAGGTAAGGATAATCTTGAATCTCAAATTGTGAACTCAACACTAATTTCTTGTAAATATTACAGGTGAATACGAACAGATTTACGCCACTGCGAAATTCGGCTTCAATGATGTAATCCTTTTGCGAACGACATCTTGTGGGAATTATGCAGCAATTTGTGCACAAATTCAGCAAGGCGCAAACAGCGGCAGTATCACTCCATACGTCCCAACATGCATTTGCACGACTGGGCAAAGGCAAGCGGGTAGATTATTCAAGGAATATAATTAAAAGGAGTTCAAAATATGTCATTACAACAAGAGAAATGCACTTAGTTCGCCACATACACAACCACACTCGAATTATTTAGCAGCATTGAAATCAAATTTGTGTTTGTGCAAAACAAAATTAAAAATCACGCACCCAATTCTTCGTATGGCTTAACTTCCAGATATATTTCATAAATGCTGTCAATTGGAAAGTAAAATCGAATTGGTAACCTCCGACAGGTTACATCCTCCGTGTCAACCGCCATATATTAAAATATCTAAGAAGAAAGTATATGTTCCATTCCTGCATTTTATGAAAATGTTGTTTGTCTCCCTAATGAACTAAACTAAACTTCAGTGAATCATGCCATTCAGTTGTCCGTAAAATTGTATGAAAACTCAAATTTTACCAGACCGCTTGGGGGCTAAAATGTCAGCCTTTATTATCAGCCTTTAACGTTAATAAAAATGAATATTATAAGCCGGAGCTATGACTAGTTTATATCCCAGGATGACCCCAATAACCATATTGGTGAGTTCATAGCAGGATTTGATTGCCGTACTGGAAGTTGACAGGTAGTGGGAAACACCCCAGAGCCACGCTGCAGCAGACCACCGTATTTACTCGGATGTGGGGCAAGGATCGAACCTAGGACGTCCAGTTAAGGATTCTCACAACTACGCCACCTAACTCGCTACTAGTGCCAAATGATATGTGTTATTGAAAATGAGCCAAATCCAAAACAAATTACCCGGAATTTAATCCTCAAATTGTGTAGAGACTCAAAACTCTGTTCAATTAAGACAATTTAACACATAAGTGTGTCTTAGCATTAAACAGTTAGCATTTACACCTTTTAAGAATTGCCCTAAAGCTCCATATCTCTTGAGAGTGGTTAAAATTTCCGGAACAAACTTATAAATTGTAACGGGGAGTAGTGTGGCTATCCACCAAGATGTCCCGCACCTGCTCCACCCCTTCAAACACCATGAGCAGATTTTTAACATAATCGACAGCAACCCAGACCAAGGGGGGAACTCAATTATATGTTGTCATAGTCATTGTCATAGTCAGATTTATTATTCGCAAAGGTTCATGACCAAAATACATTCAATGGAACAATCGAACCCCGATAAACAGGAAATACTCGATTGCTCTGTTGTCTTATTTAACGGTTTTATTATAAATAATGGCGTCTGTGTGCAAAGTAAAATTTAACCTGGATTGGACAATACCAACACGCGCCAATTTAGCGTGACAAAGTGTATTTTACCGAATACTTTATTCCAGGTTTATACAAAACTAACCCAATGATAAGATTTATGTTTGTGTGCTAGTTCAAAATGTATTAAACTAGTGACACTAAAATAAACATATGCTTTAATTTACATAAGTATCTACCTTGCGTGCTATGATAATTTACAGCTAATTTTCCTCGGAGATGTTTGTAAAGTTTTGTAAGTTTTGTAAGTTTACAAACTTTACGCTGTGTACAAGGTTACAAACCTCCGCGTGAATTGCCCCAGTACAAATTTTAGGATTTCTTTTTGTCTACCCCTGTGAGTTTTGTGTTGAAATCATACCCTCTGATTCATGCGAGGTGTTCGGATGAAAATTCAAATAAGGTGCTAATTTTTTTAATACAACAAAATGAAATATTTATATCATTTCCAAATCAATTTTTGCACAAAATTGCCCATGATTAGTTTCATCTTTGTGGAGTTTAGGTTGATCTGGCTCGAATTAAATACCAAAGTCTTCCGTGAGTAAAAAGAGTTAGACACCTAACTAAGTGTGTGATGCAAAATAAATTTTTTATTGTTTTAGATTAAGGTCAAATAAATGATTGTTTCAAAGGAAATCACTGGATCCTGACATCAGCGCAATTCCTAAAAAAGATAAAGGGTTCGTTTATAGATTGTTGAGCAATAAATTCTTACTACGTTTTTCATACCTGAAAGTCTGAGCAGGTCGTGGGTTGTCACAGCTCTCCCAACCAGATGGTCCGGGGTATGAGGTCCTATAAGTCCATCGGATCGTGCAACGGTTGCACCTTACTCCAGCCGGAAGTTGGACACGGGCCACAAGATCCTGGGTCGCGTTGTTGTCGTATGGTACGCAAAGTCTGTTTCCATTTCTGACCTCCTCACTTCCACCAACGATAGGGAGGACGGTGAAGCAGTTGTCTGTCTCAGTCTCAGAAGCGCACAGTTCCACTTGGAAATATCCGTGATGAGCGGCCTGGAAATTGCTGACAATGTCCACAATCTAACCAACAACAAGATCAATTAGTTTCAAAATTTGGAAACGGAAATCATTAGAGAGGTAGAGATTTCTGTATTCTAGTCGATTTCGATTGTAGATTCTACTCTAGGGGTGACTCATTGCCTCTACAGTAGAGTGCAGAGCGACAAAATCGGACCCTACTCGGAACTCGATTTTGCCTTAATTCAAAATTCGCGCATTGGTAAATTGAGACTCTCCGATACCAAAATGAAGATCAGTGTGGATCTAGGATTGCACAATCAACTCTCTACCTCTCTCGCCGACAGTACAAATATTCTCACTAGAATCCAACTACTTTAGAATATAGATTTCTCTACCTCTCTATTACTATGAATTGGCTTACCGATCCAGCCGTGTAGGTGGCTACGATGACGTTCTTGTCATAGATTCCGTTCTGGCTAGCATCACTATTTCCCTGTTGCTCTCCACATCTTCCGCAAGTGGAGTATTGGAGATCTTGGTTCGCATTAGCGCACCAGACTCCAGTATTGTCCCACCAGTAGGGTTGCTGAGTGTTGAATTCGGGTCGGAGTTGGATTGAAGTGCGGGCGATTGGTTCCTTTAGATAACCGTGCGATTGGACTTGAGCCACCCCGATGAGGGCCAAAACTAGAGTGGAGGCAATGAAACGCATCTTTGGATAATTTAATGATCTGGAAGTGGAAGCGATATGTGCCGTGTGGGAGAGTCACCCTTTTTATTCAACTTTCAAGTGTTTACCATCATAAAATTGGACATGGCATCGGTGATAAAACTAATTGCATCTCTCAATTCAATTAATTTGCACACGACGCCACTCAAATTCCTAACGGGGAGCAGTTTTAGTGTCGAGTAATGATGATGATGCCATAGATACCATGCCGGTCTCACGTGAACTAATTAGGGAGTGTGATAGCAAGTATACAGTTTGTTGGAGTGTGCAATATTTGTTTTTATCCATTGCTTAGATAATTGCGTCTCAGTTTTGATTGATCTCCCGATCATGAGAGCTACTGTCCTCCAACGCATGGTTTTGTAATACCGATGTGTGCAACTATTCATCATGTGCAAAATAGTAATGAGGACAGTGTTCGATTAGGTAAACCAGGCAAACATAGATCGGCATGGACGCCTGTTCATATGGACAAATATGCGTCAATATGGACGATGGACGCATAATTGTCCATATGGACACTAAAAAATGTCGATGGACGATGGACACAAAAAATATGGATGGACGGTGGCAGGGTTAGGAAAAACCCGGGGTTTTACTTCGAAAACCACTACCCCTAGGTTTTACTGGGTTTTACTGGGTTTTACTGGGTTTTGGGGTTTTACTGGGTTTTACTGGGTTTTACTCAATGTTTGGGGTGAAGTAATATAACTAACAACGTTATATCAATTAGTTAAATTTATGGATTTTATCAAGATTTATCATGTACTTAAGTGCAGAATGCCAAGAACACCCTTAATAACACCGGCATGACTAAACTGTAGTTTCAGCTAGAAATTATAACTTTTAGACCATAAATGAACATCCGAAATAAATATGGAAGTCCAAGGAATCTTGTTCAGGGGACTGAATTCGTGTAAGATAAGTACTGAAAATTGATTTTACTGACTTATCTATTTTAATTTTAGACAAAACAAGGTAAAACCCGAGTAAAACCCAGTAAAACCCGAGTAAAACCCCTATAACGTAGTAAAACCCACTGGGTTTTACTCATTTACGACCCAGTAAAACCCAGTAAAACCCCAAAACCCCAACCCAGTAAAACCCGGGGTCGGAATACCCTGGACGGTGGACGAAAAATAATTGTCGATGGAAGATGGACGATAGAGGCAAAAAAATGGTCGATGGACGCGTTTTGCCGAAGTGTGGCAAACAATCTGCAGATTGCTTTTTTCCTTGGTTCAAATCCTCTCGTTTCCTATTTCGAAATGGCAGGTTTTTTTCTTTGAAGAAAATTATTGTCAGATTCTAAATCATATATTGTTATGCCCTTATATAAACCTATGTCTAGATTGAGTAAAATTACTACTGATTTTATTCGCATGGAGGGAGCGTAAAGTTGTCATAATGAATACAAAGAAATACTCGGCACCCTAACCATAATGTCAGTTAGCCGAAAGTCAACAGCATTGGCAGCACTCAAATAGTAGGATCGTTAACGTGTTAATGTCCTAAGTCAGCTTAATTTTGATTGGCTTAGAAAATAACCCGGAAAATAACAACTTCCACCACTTCGACCCTAGTATTTAGGTGTTAAAAGTGGTGAGGGAGAATTGATACTCAAGTATGAGATGGGTAATCTGGTAAACCGGTTGAAGTTTGCATATTAACGATTTAACAAGATTTCTATTTGAGTGCTCCCATTATAAACTACGTAGCTGACAGAAATATATCTCACCAATGAATTATTGTACGGTAATGGAGAAAAGTGCAGGAGGGGATGAGATTCCTTCTTCCCAACTTTGGTTAAATACATTTTGCCTATACATCAGCCAGTGCTAGTCCCGGTACTGGCCACGGTACTCGGGATCGGTACTGGTACCCAGGATGTTAGTGTGCGGTACTGAGCACCGGTTTCAGTACCGAAAGTTTATTCTGGGACAAAAAGTTGGAAGTTGAAATGGGGAAACTTGTTGTCTAGCCGAATCTACGCTAAAACTTTCACAAATTCTTAATGGTCAGGTATGTAAGGGTTTTATACCCTTTTGTAAACATATTGCGAATGTGACTCAACTGCTTGGAATTAGACTTATTACTAGCAGTGAATAATTCTTACAGGATCTAATGATATATAGTAACTTCATTTTTTGGGGACTTGAGCAGTACATATTTAAATCGCTGCAATGTTTTTATAGTTAATGATTTAATAAACAATAATTTTGAAGAAAACTTAAACAAAGAAACAAAGCAACAAGTCAAATTTTAAAGGAGGGTAACAGGGAGTCTTGCATCAGTTCTATAAACGGGCTGCAGGTTAAGCATGATCTGGTGGAAGAGCTATGTTGGGTGACGACTAGCCTCGAAAATCTCCTTATCCCAACCCGGCTCTGTGCTCGATCCTGACACAGCCCGTCCACACGGATGGATATGTCAGAAAAGAGCCCCCACAGAGGCCGTTCTCTGGGTTGGGATGTGCTGATGTCACCCTGGGAAGACCAGTATAATTATGAATTATGTACTGATAGGTTAATGACACGTAAAACAAAGGTCAAACAAACAAAACAAACCCCTAGGTGCGTAATTTACGGACAGCCCATCTGTTGCGCAATGTCTACACATAATTGAAAAATGTCACGATGCGTAGAAATTTCAAGATTTTTACAATGTCACGTTCTTACAGTGTCATTTGTGAACATTTTTACTTCCAGATTCGCTCAAAATAATATGGTAACGCATCGTTACCGTGCGGAGTTACTGCTTACATATGATGCTCCACCGCGTTGGTTAAAAATTGTGACATAATAGTAAAAAGAACTTGGTGTTCTCAAGTATCATAAACAGATACAGAGCAGTAGAAAATATGAATTTTGAGGAAATTCTTATCACAATTCTTAACCACCAATAAGTTAGAGTATCATAGTGACTCGGCACGGTAACGATGTGTTTTGAGTGTACTGATTTGCACTATAGTGTTAGCGAGCAGAATATCTATCTGCAAATTAACGAGTTTTATCTAATTTCTGGTTAAGTAAAAAAAAACACGGAAAATTTGATGACACGGTGTGGATTCCGTCCTGTATGTATTTTAAAGTTGTGTGTCATATGTGCACGCACTTGTAGTGACAATCTTGAAATAATTTGTGACATGTGCGTGTATCATAAATGCGACTTCCCATACTATTTTTTCTGCAAACTTGTTGTACATTTCATTCTTGACCTACTTTTGAGACTCTGTGACATTGCATGATAGTGGCGGAAATAATAATAAAAACACAAACTTGGGAATAGGTTTGCTTGCTTGGTAATGAGTAATGGTCGCAATTTATGTAGCTAAAGTAGGGTTGTACCGCTCCTCGCTACCTGGGAGTTTTAAAATCCCAAAAATCCCGGAGTTTATTTTTACTCCCCCATAAGCCCAATATTAACATAAACTCCCTGGGAATATTCCCAAAACTCCGGGAGTTTATTATCACTCCCAGGGAGATGTACATCCCTGGGTAGAAGTATGCACTTATCGTAATAATAATAAAGGTAAAGATCATTTATCTCACCTTGATGTGAAATTATTATTTTCTTCCCAAAGATTACACAATCGTTGCTTCCATATTGAAAATAAAGTAAGTGAGTGCAGTAAGTCAGACCTGTGTTGGTTGTGGAGGTGGGAAGAGGTTAATTTGGTTGAACTAATTTCGATAAAATTCTCCAGAAAGCATGGCGGATTTAGCGTGAGGGGAAGTTGACAATAATGCATGGATTAAAAGGAGATCAAATTTTTCACTCATTAATCCCAGAATCGCAATTCGTAATTTTTATTTAAATCCAAACTTAAATGATCAGAATACTAAACTTAATTCTTGATTTGGCAGAATTTAATAATCCTGTGTAGTCACGCGGGTGTAAATTTCTCGGTGTTAAATTGGTATAAATTTGTCACCATGATGGTGACTATAATTTCCTCCACGGCGGGGGAGTATTAGTATTACCATATTCAACTCGCACGGTGTTGAATTAACACCGGATTACTTGCTGTGGAGTTGTACACCAAATCTTTGGCAAGAGTGTGATCTCATTTTAATCCACAAATTAATTAATTATGTATGTATCAAAACTGCAGTAAAGTTGTGCAAAAAAAATTTCCAGCAAATTTTACTTTTCCTCCTCCTCGCCATTTCTGTCCCCCAAGAAGTGGAAGGACAGGTGGAGCTCCCAGGACAGGAAGACGTAGTGTGCACACTGTCATGCACAGTGTGCACACTGTGCAAAAATATCTAAATGCAAAATTGAGAAGAGGACGGTCCGCATAAATTTGAATGTCTTATTCCTCATCCAGGAATACCATTCCGTTATTTTTACACGGTTTGCGATCCAGGATTCTTCCCCCACGCGTGCAAAAAATGTTAGGGGTTAATAAATGTCACATTTTTATCAAGTGTTGGAATAAAAGGCAGAAATAGTTTTATTATTATCTTAATTGCATTTTTCCTTCTAAAAAAGTGATACATTGAGCGTATTCATGTCAATATGGGTACAAAATGGCATTGGAGGTACTCACGTCACCTTCGTAAACTTTGATAAGTGTCGCAAATTTAAAAAAAATGTTGCGAAATTTTGACGTGAATACCCTAATCGTTTTGTTCGCTATATAATTAAGTTTTAATATGACATTTCCAAAGTTTAGAATTCATGTTGACAATTTTAGTTGACTTGAATCCCCCCATTATTTTTGGGAAAAAAGAGAGTTAAGAGAAAAGAGAGTTTTGAGTTAATCCCTGGGGATGATGCCACTTTGGTTGACCAAGTTGCCCTTGAGGTCATACTTGTAGCGGGATGGGTCCTGACGGATATATATCGTTACCATATGGTAACGAATTGCTGCCGTGCAGTGTCAAAAATGTATGATGATGCACGTTTTATGTAAAAAACCGTTCGCTATGAAAAAATTATAGTGAAAGGTGCAAAATTTGTTCTTCAGTGCGAAAACTTATACCGAGCGGTAAAATTGATTACCATCCGGTAGGAATATTAATAAATACTAAGGAGGGCAGGTTGTCAACCCTCCCACCTCAGATCTTGATGCTCTTTGGATATGCTAAATAGGTGAATCTTGAAAACAACTTGAACCGTTCGACTCCATTTGCGCCCCCATAAGAAAGCAATGCTAAACTAGCCTAATCCAAACCTTCACCAAAAATCCAATTTTGCTCGAATTTCAATAATTTTTACATATTATTGATCCTAGAGAGTTGCTCTATCGTATCCAATAACAAACTCAACTTTTTTCATTTTTAAATATTTTCAGGACTTTCGGGACCGAAAAAAAGTGAAAATTTGCTATTGGGTCTGATAGAGTAACTATCTAGGATCAGTAATATGTAAATATTATTGAAATCCGAGCAAAATTGGATTTTTGGTTAATGTTTGAAGGTCGCGGATCTGAGTGATTTTGTCACCTTGAGGGGGTGTAGCGGGCGCAAATGGGGCCATGGAATCAAACGGTTCGAGTAGTTTTCTAGATTCACCTAGTACTACAACATATTCAAAGGGCATCAAGATCTGAGGTGGGATGGTAGACAACCTGTCCTCCTAAACGGTAACAAGTTTCAACCTGGTGGAAATTCTGGTAATCACTCTATACCAATTTCAACCATCATAGTGACTCCGCACGGTAACAATTTGTGACAATACAATACCTGGCAATTTTGTAGTTGAATGCGACACGGTGTTGCCACCTTGGCAACGACGTCTTGAAATCTCTCTTTCAGTTCGGGTGGGAAGTCGCCGTATTTCTGAACTCTTGGGGTAGACCAAGATTTCGGTTTGTACCCCAAGATAAGATTTTGCAAACCTATACTCGTGTAATTATAAGCGAAAATTTAGACAATAATAATTGGTAATAACATCCCGGTAAGAAACGTAACTCAACCGTCAACTATCACCCCTCCGAAGGGCACGAGTTATGTATGTTGGAGGGCACCAAAATTTGCCGGAGGGTATAATATAACTAGGAGGACAAAAAAATGAGCCCTTAGGAGGGCAGATGACATGCATTTAGCTGGAATCGGTCAGAGGGCATGGAGGGCTCTTATGCAGGGATACCACCAACTAACTAACTATGCATGTGACTAGTCCGTCATAGCAGTGACATAGCGGGCGGTTGTAGCAAACACTATTTATCACCACTCTTACGCAGTTATGTTGCTACGTTCACCCGTTGGTGACAACCTATCACCAGATTTCTTACTGTTACAAAGATAATCAAAATACTTACCTGGGTTCGACGCCCTTTCAAACATTGCGAGACAATCCAGTAGATCTACCACCTTGGACGGAAATGGCGCCAGGATGGAAATCCTTCTCAATTTCAGATTTGCCCCACCCTCCCTCACAACTCGGATCGTTTTGGCGAGGATTGTTTCTGCGTCGTATAGTGGCGAGCAACCTGGCCACCAGCTGATTTCAACACTGAGATCTTCCACGTGTCGAAAGTATGTGTCAAATCCGTCCCGAAGACAGTCCGGGTTTCGAATGCCGATCAGATTAAGTTTCGTGATTGGACTCGCGTGTGTAACAATTGACCACTGGGTCCAAATTTTCGCTGCTGCGGCGTCAATCACCACCGGGTGTGTGGAGTAGATCCTGGCCGACTTGTTAGCTAGGACGACATCTCTCAAGTTCGGCATCCTTAGCGCTGTCAAGTCTTCCCCTCCTCACTCGAAGACATCGACCCGCCAATTTTTGAAACTTTTCAGCTTCCTCATTCGCGGTAGGGCGAAACCGACCTTTAACGCGTCTAAGGACGTCTCAACTTCGAACGTACCGCTAAGTTCAAGCTCTTCAAGCGAGTCGGCCGCCGCTTCCAGAAGTTTGGTAAGATAGCCCAAACCGGATATTGGTAATTTCTCGCCGGGTTGATACCAGTTACATTTTAATTTCTTCAGAACAACCTTACCGCTCAGCATGGGGCAAAATGCGTCCCGAATTATAAAATCTTTCAAATTTACCGCCGCTGTGGTAATCTCTTGAACAAAGTCTTGCATTTTCGCGGTACACCGTGGGGTGAGGAATCGTTCCACGTCGGCGCGAATATAATGAATCGTTTCCAACATTGGTTTAATCGGGGTCCTACCGTGCCCTTCTATTTCGGCCGCTCGGTCAACCCGGGAACGCAAACTGTTGATCTTATCGTCCATCACGAGCACGATTTTTCTCAGGTTGGGGGCCCATCTGAGGAGCACGTTATGTAACAAGGATCCCACCCCGTGAACGGAGACGAATTGAATTTCGGGGCTGAATTGGGAAAACACGTGACGTACATGGGACGAGATGAGGCGGCCGGAAGAGTGGAATTGGAAAAAGATTGATCGCGCTAACTCGGGTGAGACCAAGTTTAGGCAGAGTGAGGTCAATTCGCGGTAGGGTACGACGCCGCCAGTGGTGCTGAGAGGGTTGGGATTTAACCGGTTGCGGGGGACGGGGAGGGAGAGGATGAAATCGTTCCAGGTGTGCGACACAAGACGGAGGGTGAGCGTGTGGGAGGTTTGGCCTGAATCGGGGGAGGGGGTGGGATGTAGCGAAATATTTCGAGGAATGAGGACAAGTTTTCAGTAAATTGGGGGCATTCATGTCATAAGTATAAAATTTATTTTGCAGAATTTCTGTACTTTGCTACTCCACATATTACGGTGTGAATACCCCTATTATTAATTTTATCATGTGTCATGATTCATGTCAAGAGTATTGAGTTTGATAAATTTCAAAACAAATATTTTTCCCAAACATATTAGATGAGTAACCCTAGTACATATTTTCGTAAAATATTTACCAATTGGTTTGACAGTGCTTGTTGAGTGGGCGACATTTGATCTGATTCTTCCTGGAAGGTTTCTCCAGGACGCGAGGAAGTTGTGACCATATTGTGACCTATATTTTTAGGATAAAAAAAAGTTAGTATTTATTACTATAGAAATAGTAGAGGTATTCGTCCCCCAAGGCCTTAACACACTGCAAATAATTCGACGTTAATTCAACACTATTCGGTGTGCATACATATCCGCCGTGTTCTCAGTCATTGTCACCACCATGATGACAAACTAATACCACTTGGTGACCAATTTACACGAAATTAACACCGGCCTGACTACACCAGATTATTTAGTGTAGGGCAACATTGTGTGTCCAAGACTAAAAGATTATTTATCTACACAATTCGGCCTTACAATTAAAAAATACTATTTGACCACTAGAACCAACTCCCTTAAGTATTTAGTTTCGCACACATTTTATCACTATAAGTGCAAACAATTTAATCCAGGTATAAACAACAGAGGTATAATATCATTGTACAAAAATTGTAATTTATTTTCTATCGGACAAATAATGATCTCTCGTACCACCTCCTATAAATAATCTTCCAATATCATCTCTGACGCGAGGAGACTGACTGCACGGCATGTCACGTCATTTACCGACATATACTTATGCTGAAGAACAGAACCATCCACCACCCTTAACCTGGTTGCCCCGAGAACTCTGTCAATTTAAGTAAAAAAAAAAAGTACATGGACAAATTTTCATAAAACCTAAGTATTAAAAATTTTGTATTTTGTAAGCGGTTCATAAACTGTACGGTTTACATTATGGAAAAATATGTAAGATTTCTGCACTACGAAGACAAAGATTTTCAACCGGGCTCACCGCAGTCGTGTATCCACCACGGCGTCCACATCCGTTCCGTCGTCCCTCCCAATAGGTGCAGTTCCCGAGTACTTGTACGCTGTCACGGTCACATGGCGAGCGAGACATTCGTAGTATGCGGTCGACTTAAAGGGAACATCCACACAGGCCGGGAACTGAATAGGAGCCAGGTGGCCATCAATGTCGGCAAACGCGGTAGTATTTTCCACCACGTCCACTGCAAATTGTAGTCCTGAAAAAATAAGCATTACGGTAATCGAAATACCTAAATGTCGATGTAACCCATTGTCCGCAAATTAAGGGTAGAGTGTGATTAACTGATATTATCTAATTTTTACTTTAATTCTGTCGTGCTTGTAACTTAAAATTGATGGCATCTATTTCTCACCCTCCACTATCGCCCTGCAGTCTCTCTCATCCTGAAAGTACTTGGGATTAATGCTGGGATTGCTGAGTGGACTGCGATTCCTTAGGCGGACAACCCCCCTTCCCAGAGGTCTCTCAAGGCACACCATTTGTATAAAACTGTCGGACTTTGCTCCCTCCGCGAAAAACTGGAGCGTTTCCTCCTTCCAATTAAATGTCTCCTGCACCCTCTTCTCCAGCTCTTTGTTTAGCGGAATTGTCAAAATGTAGGTGTGCACGTCCGGCGCGCTGATTCGATTATCGAGCCGTGCCGATTTCGAAATGTGGGCATGTGTTGCCTGGGATAAGGCCGTCTTTAAAGGGCCGGTTCCTCGTTTTAGCCACTCGAGAAGGCCGGCAGCGGTCAAATCCCGCCCGACGATGAGCGACTTGTGACGAGCAACTTGAAAAGGACCTATCATGGCGCCATATTTGTCTTGCAGATACTCCCCGACGGGAAGGTCGAGTCTTGTCGGGATCTGTAAAGTTCTTGATTTTAGCAAAAATATTGTAATACTTATCAGCGCCAAGAACTTGTTTCTTCCTTTCTTTAAACATTAATGTCAACCATAAGTAGGGTTGTACCGCTCCTCGCTCCCTGAGAGTTTTGGGAGTTTTAAAAATCCAAAAAATCCCAGAGTTTATTTTTACTCCCACAGAAGCCCAATGTTAACGTAAATTTCCTGGGAGTATATGACCTGGCAATATTCCCAAAACTCCGGGAATTTATTATCACTCCCAGGGAGTTGTACAACCCTAACCTTAAGTCTACACCACCTTATTTTTTTAATTTAGAAATAATTTTTTCCTGCTAACCCACTACTTACCCCCAATTCATCGAGATGGTGTTTCGGCCCTATTCCAGACAGCATTAGTATCTGCGGCGTCCCGATGGCCCCCGTACTTAGGATGACCTCCTTCCTCGCCTTCACGTCGAACGTCTTTCCATTATTCAAATACCGAACACCCACCGTGGTGTTGGGGCGAAATAGGATTTCGGTCACGTGTGAAAATCTCCTCACAGCTAAATTTGCGCGAGGCATGACAGGTTTCAAGAAATTATGATAGGCATCCGACCTCCTCCCATTTTCCGTCAGGTATAAATCCATTTTGGCAAAACCTACAAAAAATAAAGACAAATTTGTAGAATAATGACACTCTGGGGTTTCTAACGTTCGAAACCTTCTGTATTGGGGCCGCCTGGATTTGGATCCCGCTCCCGATATCCGAGCTCCTCCCCGGCTCGCATCAAGTTTTCCACGAAGGGTGCCAGAGAGGATTTCTGGATGCTGAGGAGACCCTCGTGCCCATGTTGGTCTTAACACAAAAAACATATTGCAAATTTACAAACACAAACTTACATAGGACACTATGAGGTGTGACCTATTTTGGGCCGACGAAATTTACATTATTGCCTCAAAATTAAGGTTGTCCAAAGTTCTACTACTTGCGATATGCCACACATGTACCTGCATCCCCCCCAGTATTGTACCATCCCTCATAGTTTTCCAACTCTTTGTAATACTTCAACAAGTTGTCGAGACTCCATCTCTTGTCGCCCGTCTTTTCCGCCAAATCGTCAAATCCTTGCACATTTCCTCGCACATATATCATCCCATTGATCATGCTCGAACCTCCGAAACCCTTCCCGGAAGGCCATGCCATTTTCTGCATAATTAGTTTGATTAATCAATTAATTTTAGATTGACCAATTAATTTTAACAAGTTGGGATGATTTTATTCTAAAATATGACGCAAATTACGTTGCTGATCGACCCTTTTGCTGCCCCCACTTGCGGTTCCGTATCATACTTCCAGTCCGTCCCTGGCTGGTTGAACATTGAGTAGGCAAGCGTCGGAAGGGATTGGACCGGACTCGGGTAACCGCCCGCCTCCAACACCAACACGGTAAAGTTGCCTCCCTCTGATAATTTATCGGCCAGAACGCACCCCGACGATCCGGCACCGACTGGGAGACATAAATTTAATGCAAATTTAGTAACAGAACTGTTCTACGTGGTGGCTGCCTGTTGCACTTTGTCTTTACAAAATTTGACTCATTCTTGATGCATGACCCTTAATGAAATATTTATGATTTAATTATCTTACCAATGATGAAGTCGAACTCGTCCTGCCCATCACTCCCGCTAATCTTGTCGGCCGCCACGTCCTTCACTGTGAAGAGGAAGAGGTGCGGAGTGATGAGGTAGATGAAAGCAAATATGACTTCGTCTCCACCCCAGGTTATCACAGTTTCCACTAATTCGTCCATTTCAGGACTAAATATTTCTTCCAATTCGCGACCTTGTCAATTTTTTTATAGCTTCAGTTTTAGAAGGTTTACAATTTTGTGTTAAAGTTGAGGATGGTAGTAAAACTATATCTATTTCTAACTTCTACGCACCACCTTTGACGATACAAGTAATAAGATACTAAATGCAATTGAAAATGCCAAAATAATTTAACTATCTAATAAGTGAAGGAATTTCTAGCTGTAATTTAGAATCGTTGAAGAGTTCTGCAGTAAAAATATTCGTCTCTCCTAATACCAGTGTTAGCTCGAGTAATGAAAAGGTACGTTAACGGCCACCCTCTCCGAACGGGACTAGCGACCAGAATAGAAAGGTACCAATTTCATATGAAATGTGTAGAATGAGTCAGTCGCCTACCCGGTGAAAGCTATTCTCTAAAAAATAATCAGGCCAGTCGCAGTTCCGTGGCGTATTTAATTAAATTGAATGCAGGAAATGATGACTCTCGAACTCTTCCAATGATACACCTTTAATATTTTATTTCTCACTAATTAATTTCAAACAGAGAAATAATCACACCTTAAAAATTATGTGTGTGTGCTCAAAGGAAGCTAAACGAGAAAGTCATGAGCAGACTAAAAAACTTCTGCCTTCATAAAACAATGTACATTTTCTTGATCACGTACGCAAAAACATTAATGTACAAATTACAAACTAGATGGCTGCTCCGATACTATTTCTATACCAAAACGGGGCAATAATATTCTCATGAAATCCAACAAAATGAATGCACAGTTATGGATTTCACCGTTGGGATGTGTCAAACTATGCCTCATTATTTCTCGCATTGTTCAATAATTCCATTTGACGTTACGGCCAGGGTATTCCGACCTGGGTTTTAATGGGTTGGGTTTTATTGGGTTTTATTGGGTTTTAATGGGTTGTAAATGAATAAAACCCGTTGGGTTATACCATGTTACGTGGGTTTTATTTGGGTTTTAATGGGTTTTAATTGAGTTTTACCTTAAAACTACATTCTAAAAGTTAAATATATCTCTTGTACATTATAAGACGTTATCCCAAAGCAGTTTATTTGATCACTATAATAACACATGCAAATCCGGAAGAAATCAACAATTGACTCCATCCTTTAGCATCACAGATTTCAAATTTAAAAAAAAAACATAATTTCGGAATCGATACAAATTCCCATATGGACAAAAGGATTGTATATGATTGGGATTGAATTTGCAATAATTGTGAATTATTTTTGTCACGTTATTACTAAAAACCTGATAAAACCCATTAAAACCCAATAAAACCCAATAAAACCCATTAAAACCCAATAAAACCCAAATAAAGCCCACCAAACATGGTAAAACCCATTAAAACCCATGGGTTTTACTATTTTTGATTAAAACCCTGGGTTTTTCCGAACCCTGGTTACGGCGAACCAGAGGCGTAACTACCTGCCTTAATTTGGAATATAATCCAGAAAAACATACAAGAGAAAGTGGTGGTCTTATGGTTTCTTGGCAAGTTTTTGACCCATGTTTTTATATTCCTTTCCAAAACTCAGCTGATACTTAAAATAGAATAATAAATTTTTGCACATAATTTCGTGTTAATGTATAATATAAAATAAATAAAATTGGGAATATTTACAATATAGCGGTTTTTTGGCATAATGCATGGGTGGTTTTATGGTTTCTTGGAGCACTTTACAATACATACAGACAATCTTCTTGAAGGTAACAACTTGTTACAATACAGATAGAAAGCGATTGTCAATCCTGATGAATTTGGCACCAGAATTGCTGGGTGTACTCGGACAGGATTATTCACGACGTAGTGTACTCGTACAAATGCTGGGTTCGCTGTATTTTGGAACGCATCTGTGGTATCCCTTAGCCCAAGATGTGTCGCAGGGTGGTCTTGGCAAATGGGGCAAGCCTTATCGTACCTGAAACGATTGCTATGTTAGATGCTGTTGACGATTTGAAGTTAACCGAAACCGCAGTTCAATTTCTCCGTAAGTACGAAACGCTGGGAAATAACGAGCCGAGTTTATCCAGCGCTTTGGAACCTCGGATCGAAACGCCAAACTTTTCAGTCCAATCTTTCTCGATAGATTCGCACATGTAGTCGAGTCTGGAATTTTTGTGTTGTGGCGCGATCAAAGAAGCAAATTCAAATTGATGAGGGGGATTCAAAGAGATAAGAATGTTGGTAATGATAATAGTAGAAATACATTTTATAACTTTATACCCAATTTCGGTTTATAACAAATCCATAAATTTATTTATTTCCCCCATTTCTCACGAGTTTAGTACATAGGAATGAATTTCTTAACAGACCAAACATCATTGGCATCGCAGTCCGAAACAATGACCGCTTTACTATTTTCATACCGGGTTTGCACAAGACATAGGTTCGTCGCCGTGTTAACAACGTGACAAACCTCTCCATTATTTCCGCTGCACGCGTATCTCCATTTTTGCTTCTGTTCCGTCGGATGACACTCAGCTAAGTAGGCGTCACCCCCATTGTTAAAGGACTCGAGGCATAACAGAGTTCCATACGCGCGGAGGGTGAGTGTCTCCCTGTTGACAACCCATTCTTGGTTGGATCGAGTATTTTTGTCAGCACAGTCAGACAGGTAAACGGATCTCCCTACACCGCCGGGGAACGTGAGACATTTATCACTTCCGAGGACAGCGAGTTTGAACTCATTCTCAGTCGGGACTACCTGCATAGCAAGTACACCACAGAGATGGACAATGGTCAGGGACAGTATGCTGCCGATATTTTTGTTGGATGATAACATTTTCATCTGTAAAGTAATATGCGTAATAATTATTTTCTATTTACTCAAACTAACGTGAAGACAAATTTTCGACGAGTGTAGGTACTATACTGCGGTAAGGAGCAGGAAACAGGGTTGATATCTGAGGTAACAATTTTACTATCTGAATCGCTTCATTTTGGTAGCAATTTGGTCTCCTGCTCCTTAGTGCAGTATAGTATTTACTTACCTCCGCCGTTTCTAAAATTATTTAGAGCCTTTGTTTTGTATGAGATTATGCATACCCTCTCTGACAACTGACGTTCTTCGGAGTGATACAAAATTATGAGTAGTCGAGCAGGTCTGAAATTATCACAATGATTAACTAGAATGAATTAATGTTTTTATGCTCACACTAATCGTGTAATGATTAGTATATATTTTTCTAATTGCAGAATGTCTGCAAAGTTCGTTGTACTTATGATAGCTCATTGTGAAATGAGAAATTAATTTCACCATAGCAATGATTCATGAATTAAGAATACGGGAGATGAACTTGGTACTAGTGCTCATTAACATATACAATCAATTAATACGTAATTGGGTTTTGTTCTACGTTAGCACTATTTGCATAATATCCGACCATTCGTTCGACCATAGATTGAATATGTTTATGTCTACTTACATATCCAATTGTGCTTTATTTATCGTAAGTATGATACTCAAACAAGAGTAAGTTACTCGTTATACAGTTACTCTAGGCAGTTCCAAAACCAAGCTAATCACAGTGATCACTTATTATCATTGTTTAATAATTATTATTACTCGAATTATTGTATATCAATCTCGTTTTTGAAATTCAGATTTTCTGTAATTGTAACTGTAATTCACTAGATGAAGAGTAAAGTTGGAAACAATTCGGTTTAATATTTTGCAAATGTTCTATGTTGAAACTCTGGGAGGTTATTTTGCCCCGACTTTTTCACAATTCTGGTAGGCAATAAGGCTTCAAATTGACTGCCACGAATTACAAAAATATCCACGCGATGTACCGTTGTTAACAAGGCGTACTGCAATTCAAATGTTTATCCGCTACAATTATAGTAAACTAGATCAACTAAACGAGTCCGGATTTTCTCTGCAAGTATTATAAAATTTTACCAGGGATGCTTCCAGTGTCCAGATGCGAACTGCATTGCACAACATTATTATCCTTTTCCGAGTTTGATAGGAAGACTACAATTCTACTGTCTGGTTTAAGTTTTCCGTCGATTTTTTTGATAAAATTCAGTCGCTGCTTCTTTCTCAAAAACCGTTCCGATTTCAAATTAGTTTCCTTCTTATTTTTGTCAAATAAATACATGCCCTGGAGATGAGTAAATTTTCGAAGATAAATCGCATTGGTTTTCAGCCAAAAGTTTTGCAAATTTGGTCAACTTCGTAGGTTATGTTGCTATGCATAATTTACGAGATTTGGCACATTTACGACCATTTTAATCCTATTTGGTCCTTGTAAATTTGTCAAGTAAATTACAGATACAAGGTGATGATTCCGAAGGACCTGGGGAAACTATTAAAAATGTGGGGAATCAAATTACGGATATATTTAAGGGGCTCGCTGAAATACCGGCGACAACTCTAAACGCATTGATTCAGGTTATTACACCACTCTTCCAACCATTGCACACTGCCGTGATCTTTGTTGGCCAATCCGTTCTTGGCACGCAGAAACCAAAAACACAAACTTTCATAACCACTCCCTCCCAGTACACGACACTGTGGATGCTGAAGAAGATAAGGACCAGGAAGATGGTGACAGATAACAAGAAGGAATTCGTATTTGAAAAAAATTAGAATTTATTTACGAAGAGAAAATGCTCAATTTGCAGTTTTTTGGCCATAGTTATATTATTAAACTGAATATAAAATTAAAAGATGATGAGTATGCGTGTTTAGCATTAAAATTGAATCAGACTATGGTCGATCCAGAAAGTACTGAGCAAGGGAATTCTCGGGAGGCTAAATGGCCGACCTCGCCATAAACAATAACATGTAGAGTTTGAAAATTCACCGTACGGTCAGTTCTGGACCGATTTTCCAAATTCCGCCCGTTTTGGAAACACTGAACCCTTGCGCGAAATATATAATTTCAGATTTTTGAAATTCGGCCCCACCCACCCGTAATTCAGGTCACAAGGTCAAAAAAACAGGTAACATTTCTATATTGAATTTGAAATTTCTTTCACTGTTTTCGCAGGTCGTCGACGTAAATTCTTGGCGACAATGTCTGAAATAGTCAGGGCGTCGTATTGGCGACTAGTTGGTCACACCCCCTGCTGTTGAGTCATTGTGGGGGCGGTCGAAACTTAAGTCACAAGAATTAAAGAGACAAAAAATTCCCTCCCAACATGGTTTCTGACGTCGCCGCCGCGCATAATCGTACGCACGTCCCCGTTCTTAGTACTGTGACACTGTGGGTGGTCCCATGGCGACGGGGGGTGTGGCAATCAGCGCTTATTCCAAGACCATACCCAAGCACGTCATGCGACATATCATTTTGCTCAGCTTGTCAAGGGGATTGCAATGACATAATTAGAAATTTAAAAACCACGCCCCCTGTGGGTGTGGTCATCGTTTCCTGTAGGATCTTGCCAACACATGGCATGCAGTATATCATTTTTCTCAGCTCCAATGGGCGAATGCGAAGGCATAATTCGAATTTTTAAAACCACACCCCCTATGGGTGTGGTCATTTTCGACTTTTCGAATTAAATTAAACCATGTTATGTGACATATCATTTTGCTCAGCTGGATCATAGGATCTCATCGGAAATATAGAAATTCACAAACCACACCCCCAGTGGGTGTGGTTAGAAGCGACATTGCTAGGTTATAGAAACCATGTCGTGTGACATGTCATTTTTATCAGCTGATTACGTCGATCACGACGACATAATTGAATTTCGAGAAGCCACACCCCCTGTGGTTGTAGCTTCCCTCTGAATTTAACCAAACCACGTCAGAAAATATAGACTTCACGAGAGCTTAAAATTGACAGCCCACTTGCTGGGTTGACCTCTGGCGACTGCCACAAAGGGACGTGGCGTTCAGTGAACATGCACTCCATGGATCCTCATAACTCGATTTCCAAATGTAGAATTCTAATACAATCATTGTGGATGTGTGCAATGCATCGCATGATGTGGTTTTATTTGATTTAGCCGGTAGCGACCCGGCATAAAAACCACCCAACCAGGGGGTGTGGTTTTTGAAATCTGAATTAAGTCACCGTAATCATCTTGGCGTGGCGAGAAAAATGACATGTCACATTACGTAGTTTGGTTAAATTCAGAGGGAAGCGACAACCACACCCACAGGGGGTGTGGCTTTTTTTTCATAGTAATAAATCAGTTACGAATAAAATAGGTGCTTATTCTGCGGACATGTTTCATGACCATTATCTAACCTCAACATCTGTAAAAATAAACATCTGCTTCTAGAAACACAAAATGCTTCAATGCTTATGAAACATTCGGAATTAATAGATCATCTGTCCTGCTTATTTGTTCTGAAAGGCTAAATGGCGCATCTTGCCATAACTATTAACCTGTAAAAATTAAACAAATTCCCCTGGCGTCAATTGGTAATGAAATCTCTTCTTGATGATAAGTACCCAGGTCCCTACTATACTTCCCGCACAGAGAATAATCCATGTGACCTTTTTATCGCCCTGCACTCAGGTTACGAGGTCATAAAACATACAAATTACTTAAAACAGTGAAATATTTTTACCAATTCATAGCGCCCGTTTAGAAATGCTCGTTTCCAAACTACCTTCAAACTCTGCTGCAGTTTTCTACTATTTTGAACTATACCCACGCCCCCTGGAGGTGTGCCTACGGTCGCCATGGGACTAATTATCGATGTATAACCGCACCCACGGTGGGTGTGCCCCAAAATAGGAGCCTTTTAGTCGAACCATGGCATGCGACATATCGTTTAGTTCAAACTGGAGTGTACATGTAAATTGTGAACTTGATTTTGAAAAATAAACACACCCATTGTGGGTGTGCCTCGAAATAATTGGTTTTCAGCGAAACCATATTATGTGACATATCATTTTGTTCGTACTGTAAAGGATAATGATATTATGAAGCAAATTTTGCAAAATAACCACACCCCTGTGGGTGCCCCTTAAGGTAATTGTATAACAGTTAAACCATTTAAACCATAATTGTTACTAAAAGACTACTATTTTGGGGCACACCCACTGTGGGTGCGGTTAATCATCGATAATTAGTTTCCTTAGGAATTACCTTTCCTTCCTGAATACTTTGATATATCGCATGCTATAGTTTTGAAACCACACCCACTGGGGGTGTGGTTTTTTCAGAATTTTATGTACTATTTGAAAGCCTTTGTCGGCCTGAAGAAAATGATATGTCGCATGCCATAGTTTGACAGAAATGCAAATCAATTAGGGCACACCCACTGGGGGTGTGGTTTTTTTCAGAATTTTATGTACTATTTGAAAGCCATTGTCGGCCTGAAGAAAATTATATGTCGCATGCCATAGTTTGACAGAAATACAAATCAATTAGGGCACACCCACTGGGGGTGTGGTTTTTTTAAAATTTTAGTTCATAATTTAATTGTGTTCTCCAGTCCGATCAAAATGATGTGTCGCATGACATGGTTTGATTTTTACTAACCCATGGCGACCGTAGGCACACCTCCAGGGGGCGTGGGTATAGTTCAAAATAGTAGAAAACTGCAGCAGAGTTTGAAGGTAGTTTGGAAACGAGCATTTCTAAACGGGCGCTATGAATTGGTAAAAATATTTCACTGTTTTAAGTAAATGTTTTATGACCTCGTGACCTGAGTGCAGGGCGATAAAAAGGTCACATGGATTATTCTCTGTGGGGGAAGTATAGTATGGACCTGGGTACTTATCATCAAGAAGAGATTTTGAAATTTCATTACCAATTGACGCCAGGGGAATTTGTTTAATTTTTACAGGTTAATAGTTATGGCAAGATGCGCCATTTAGCCTTCCAGATTTCTGATGATCTATTAATTCCGAACGGACCATAGAACTTATTTTATTTTATTTTAATTTAACCGTGCCTGGGACAGTGAATTTCTAAAAAATGATGTTTAGGCCTCATTTTGGGGCAGAATAGAAAACGGATCCGTAAATATGTTGGGAATGGGTTCCTCCACATATTTACGGATCCATTTTCCATTCTGCCCAAAAATGAGCCCTACACATCATTTTTTAGAAATTATTTGTGTGCCTGCATACCAGGCAGTCTTAAAGAAGGTTTGTAAATATGTGTGTGAGTTTTGATGGTTTTTATGGGAAC